CTTCAAAACCAAGAGTAGCTATGGTATTCTTGAAAAATGAATTGGGTTTTACCTTGTGGATTTAAATAGTCATGTATCTTTTTCTTTCTTTATTGGGAGAGGTTGAGGGATTCCTAGGGAATGAACCAGACCTTGTGTAAGCATGGGCTCTACCTCTGGGCTAGGCTTCCAGCCCCTGTCATGTATCTTTGCCCAAGAAGATGATCCAAATTTTTTGGACCACCCTAGCAAGAGCTGAATCTTAGAGCACTGACAGGTATAACTTTTACTCCTTTTTGTAACCACCAAACTCACATAATCTTCACAATAGTACTGCACAGGTATTCAATAATATAACGTTTCCAATGTAGTTGGCACATATTTTTCAGATAAGGAAATCTAGGGCCAATCTTGGTGAAGCAACTTGCCTAAGGTCATATGTGCAAATAGGGGTAGTACAGAACCCAGGCAATCTGAGAGGTAAACATATGTTAACCTCAATTTATCTTTCCTAATATTAATTTTTCTTCAACCCAGTTTTCTCCCCAACTTCTAAAAAGAAAACTGGTGTGTATCTTTTTTAGAGTCGTTCCAAATTCACGTTGGAAACGTGGGTAATTAGACACTTAAAAGATTAGCATTCTATTATTTTATTGGTTCCCACAGCACTTTATACAAGTATTGATTAACCTATGCAAAACGGAGTAGATGCAAGGAGTTACAGAACTCCTGGAGGTCGACCATTTGTGTATGATATACATACCCGGGAAACCAAGCACAATTCATCACGCATTTAAAAAGTAAACAGGTAAGTGCAAATTTTGTGGAATGGTCAGCTCAAGAATGTTTGATGTTTAAAAGGGAATGAGATTAGGGAGGAAGTGGATCGCTGCGACTTGGACAAACGTGAGGTGCTCCAGGACCAGCAGCCCTTCCTTGCTTCTGGCTGGGCATGGGATCCAGGCTGGTCTCCTCTGCAGTCCAGCCTGGGGGCGGCCATCGGTCATCTCTAAAGACGTTTCCCAGCTATGACAGCCTCAAGAAAAAACTGGCTGGTGGGAAACGTGAACCCAGTCGTCCACCCAAAGACAGCCCTATTTGTTCCCCTTTCCTCTCCCTCTCCTTGGCTCGGCAGCCCGGAGGCCCTGGCCACCCCTCCACATGCACACACCGGCGAGGGCTTTCCCAGAACCCGCCCAGCCTGCACAACCCGACCCGCGGCGCCGCGGCCGCCCGGGGTCCCCAGACCCACCTGCGGCCCTGGAGCCAATAAACGACACCAAAGATCAAGGACAGAAGCAGCGAGCACCGCCACCGGCGCGGACGGAAGCGGCGACCTCGGGACCTGCCACTTGCAGTGCCCGCACGGAGGAGAGGGGGTGGCGGCGGCAAAGCCTGCCTTTTCTTTCTGCTAATGTTTCACTTTTCTCCTCCTTTAAGCTTTTAAACATTACCAATACTTTCTTAATCAAAGTTCTGCCCAAGGCGAGGAGACGCGTGGGCATTGTCGCCGTCGCCGTCCCACTCCTTGGTCCCCCCACCCCCACCCCGCAGATGGTATCGTCCCGGCTCTTCCCCGCCAGGGCCCCTAGCCGCGGGGGCAAGATGGCGGCCGCCACGGAGGGTCTCCTGCCGGCCGGTCGTCACGGCTACTGCTGACCCAGCATCAGCTTTCCTCCTTCCAGAACCTGGCTTCGAGCAGGGGTTGGGAAGGGCAGTGGACGGCGTTGGGGGAGGCCCGCGAGGCAAGTGGGAGCGGGAGGACGGAGTGAGCCATTGCATGGGGGGAGGGGGCGTCCTCGGCCTTAGGCAGAGCCCGGCTCCGACTCCCACCCGGTCTCTCCCGAGGACGTGCTCCGCGGTGCCGGCTGCCACTGCCCTGGTGGCCCCCAGCAGAAGTGGAGGGACAGACAAGTGACTTTTCCGTGGGTCGAAGACTCCGCGGTCGTTTGCGGCCGTGCGTGCGGTTCACTCCCTCTTTTCCGCGGTCCCCGCTGCGCGCTCGGTCTCCTGGCGCTGGACGAGTTAATCCCACGCCGGCTTTGGCTCCTTCTCCTCGTGGCGCCGCGCCCTCGTCCTCCCCACCCGGGGTCTTGCGGTCTTCTCGGGCTCAGAGACCTCGAGGCTACTAAGACCTTTCCAAAGACCTTTCAGATGTTTGTACCGTGCTTAATTAGAATTGTCTCGGCCCTCTGCAGCCTCCCACCATGGTCCTCGAGCGCTTCCACTACCTGCACTTTGCCAAGACCTCATTCTTTCTTACCTTTGTACTCTTTAACGTGCTGTTCAGAAAACAGTTCAGGCTAGCTTAGTCCCTGGCAAATCTGGCCTCCTGTGATCAGGCGGACCTGAGCCATCATTTATTGCGCATCCCCGAATTTTTTATTTTACAACCAACTCCCTTGACCCTGTCATGAAGGGCTGCTTTCCTTGAATGACTAGGAAGAGATGCCACCCCAGCCTCACGCAGTGAGTTCCGAGGCTAACCCAGACCCCTTCCTTTTTCCTTGGATTTTGCCTACTTCTCGGTTGTCATCAATTTGCATGATCATTATGGAGAGAGGGAGTAACTGATTATATATATATATATATATATATATATATATATATGTATGTATATATTTGAGTTGAGGTAGTGTTGGTCAAAATCAGTGCCCTGGAGGAATTTACGATAAGGTAATGATTCACTCCGGTCAGCGGACTGTGCTGTGAGCACACTGTGCTTGGTAGTGGAGATAAAAAGATACCACTTTACCCTTCTTCTGTACATTTGACAGCTAACAAATATTCTTCGTGCCTTCTTTCTGCTTAGTAAAAAATAACCAACTTTATCTGGGGACCATGAAGAAGGTTTATAAAAGTAAATGTTTGAGCTGGGCCATGAAGAATCAAAAGGAATTTGCTAAACTCGGGAGGACACAATCACTCCTGAATCTAAAACAGAACTGAAAACTTAAGTCTGGGCATAGTTAGGGAGAGTGGGAAAATAAATGGTGCTTGAGCAGGCAGTGTAGGGTGGGGTTGATGAAGCAAGACGTAGGTTGAAAGCAGCTTGTGAATGATCCTGATTTCTAGCCAAGGGGTTCAGGTTTTATCCAGTAGTTAGCAGGAAGCCAGTAGATCCTTAGAGCAAGAGGTGGGCAGGGGGATATTTGTTTCTTAAAATGGGCTCATTGAAAACTGTGTGGAAGATCCACTTGGAACAGGAAAACTAGATGAGAGGAAATTTCAGTCATTCAGATAAGACACTGAGTGTCTCTACTGAGTCAGGACAGTAAAGGATGTCAGACTAAGTAAATGCCAATTAGGATTTAACTCCTGGCCACTAATTAGCTGATAAGACCCTAGTTTTCAGTCTGGGAGACTATATGGTCAGCAGTAATATTAAAGTCCAGTGTGAGACATGTACATAAAAACAGGGTGGTGTCAGCCTGGTCTGCAGGAGTGGCAAAACACAGTGCTCCACAGTTGAAGGTGTTGATTTTAGAGTCTAGACCTGCACTTTTACAGTAGCAACGGTCACTTGAGGTATTGAGCACTGGCCAGTGGTTAGTTTGAATTAAGGTGTGCTGAAAATAAAAAGTACGCCTGGGTTTTGAAGACTTAGTACAAAAAAGCAATGTAAAGAATCTTAATTTTTAAAAAATGATTACATATTGAAATGATAGTATTTTGGACTTACTGGGTTAAATAAAATATTTTACCTGTTTATACTTTTTAGTGTGACTGAAAAAAATTAAAGGGACATCTGTGGCATGTGTTATATTTCTGTTGACAACTAGTCTGGTCTAAATTTATGAGGGGGCAATTGATCAGAAGGTGGCATTTGAGCTGGACCTTGAGAGATGTGGTGAGCGGTGATGTCCAGGCAGCTTCCTAGGACCCTACATTGCCAGTTAAAGCATTCAGGTTATTTTGCTTTTTTTCCTCAGACAGTAAGAAACCAACAAACATTTCTGAGCAAGGGGTAATGTGTATAGGGATGTTTCTGAGGCTAATCTGGCAGCATTGTTTAAATTGAGAGGAAGGAAAGAAAAGCTGGAGGCAGAGAAATGGAGAAACTCATATAAGGTAATAAGGCTCACATTTAAGTACTGGCAGTAGGAACAGAAAGGGAATGATATGTGTGCAAGGCATTCTGGGGGAGAAGTAATTTGGAATTGGTAGCAGTCCAAGGGAAAGTAAAAGGAAGAACCATTTTCAAACCTTGGTTACCTAGTATTAATATTTCAATTACAAAATTTATTTGGGGCTGAAGAAATTTAGTCCCAAAACAGAACCAGCAGAGAGGAGGAAGTAGTCTGCTAAATTCTCTCTCTTCATCTCCCTGCTGTTATCTGTTCAATCATACCTACCAACTAATTTTCCTAAACTACAGAATTAACATTTTTCAACTTGTTAATGAATCTTAAAATGTTTCTCTTTTTCCTGAGAACTAGCTCCAGGGTTTCCAGGGCCCTTCATTATCTGGCTTCTCTCTGTTTATTAGAACTTATTTTTTTCCTTTTATTTTTTGATTATATGAAAGTATGCCAGGTTAGGTTTTTCACTGATATTGTTTTTGTTTTGAACCTTTGCTCATTATCCCTGTTTTGAATACCTTCTTTCTACCTCGTTTCCACAGCTCCTTAATGAATAATCATAGATCCCACCTCTTCTGTGACTCTCAATTATAGAAGCTATTTAGAAATTTTAAAATTTTATTTCTTAAGCTTTATACTTAAGCCCCTGATTATTACCAACATGTCTCATTATTACTTATTTTTATTGCTTTATTATCCCTATTCATTTATGTATAAGTTTAGAAATTTATACAAATTCCTAAGATTATGTTTCTTTTTAAAAAATGAAACATATATATTATATAACTTGCCTCTGCTTATGTATATTAGGGGAAGATATACAAGTTAAAGTGCTATAATTATAAACATAAGTAAATCATACCACATTTATGAGATTCTTTATTTATTTTGTAGATTTATAAGGAACTCTTCCTCTGAATTCATGGTGTTTCATCATATATACAACTGAAAAATCAGTAAGTACTTTATGTCTGATAAAGATACAGCTTAATATCCAGGTGTGCTGGTATGTACCTGTAATCCTAGCCATTCAGGAGGCTGAGGCAAGAGAAAGGCAAGTTCAGTGCCAGCATGGGCAATTCAGTTAGACCATGTCTCAAATAAAAAAGGCCTGGGAATATAGCTCAGTAGTAGAGTACTTACCTAGCGCGCATGAGGCCCTGGGTTCAATCCTTAGCACCACACACACTAAAGGATATACTTTATTATGAGTATTTATAACAAAAGTCTTTTCATCTGTTGAAATCAGGATCTCTGCAAAATTTTAGCAAGAACTCATTAATTTGTATCTGCGAGATAACTTTGTATTTTGACTTCATAATCTAAATGAAAGTGGGAGTGAAGGTAGATTTGAGAAGAAAGTTTCTCTTAGACCATTAATATTATTGTGGTATAAGAAACTTTTTGCCAGGGAGAATTTTCTAAGTCCTTTCCAAAATTATAAAACATTTTTCACCAAATAGAGAATTGATGTCTTTATACTTCTCATGTCTTAACTACTTTTTCCTACACTAGGTCAATTTATTTCAAATTTTATCAGTAATTTATTAAACAACTACTATGTGCAGGGCATGTGCTAATGTACTGAATAGATCGAGTATAGTCCTACACTCAGCTCTCTCAAGTAAGGATAAACATGTAAATAGGTAACTCTTAATGGTGTGGTAAGAGCACTAAGCTCATTTAATCTTAGCCATGCCCATTCATTCATATAAGAAACATTGACCACCACTAAATATGACATGGAGACACTGGAATATTGATTAATAAGTTCTGTAACCTCAAGGAGTTCACATTCTAGTACTGGGATCAGGAGGAGAGAAAAGGACAGACAAAAAGCAAGTAAATAAAGAGCAATTATAGACAGCACTAAGTAATTTGAGAGAGAATGATGTTGTAGAATGTAACAGGAGTAGAGAAGGACCTCAAGGTGTTCAAAGAATGTTGCAGGATAAATTGGGGGCAAGGAAAATGTACAGTCTATTTAGAAATCTTGGTCACAATGGGTAAAAGGAAATTTGAGAAATGTAGTGGTTAGTACCAAACTGTATCAGAGGATGAAGGCCATCCATAAACCTCCACACAACCTGAGCTGGTGCATAAACCTCTGGCTTCTCAGATCTGGTAGTGTGAATAGGAGGTGAAGTGGAGACATGTTTGTATATGAATATTCTGAGAAATTTTGCTCTGAAAAATGAGATGCTGTAGTAGTAGTAGGGTTAAGAGGAGTCTTATAAATTGGGAAATTCTAGAGTGTCTTCGTATGCTCATGGGAATAGCACGTCAGTGATACATGTAGGGAAAGAGGAAATGACTAAAAAAAGCAGGAGTTAGAAGGCCAATGAGGATGAGATCAGGTACAAGAGGGATGGCCTTGGATGGAGACAGGGCAATTTGTTTTGTATAGCAGGAGACCACAGTGTGTGTGCAGGCAGATTGATAGATGTAGATTCGAGAAAGTGAGATTATCACCTGAGAGTAGGGAGGAATAGAACAGGTTTATGGTTGAGCAGAAAGAGGAATGAAATAATCTGAGATGGAAAGTCAACCTATGAAGAAGAGTAGGAATGACAGGAGTACTTAAATCTGTTTGAGATCTTTGGCTGTGAATTTAAAAAGCAAATAGCACATTTGTGTGATCCTCCCCCCAAAATTCAGCTGCTGGAGTAGACAAAGTGAATGTAGGAGTTAATCAAGGTTGGGGATGAGTACAAAGAAGAACACTAGAAGAGCAAGATACTTGAGAACATTTGCAAAGTAATCACAATGGGTCATGAACCGAAGGTGAGGACCTGGGTTGAGATACAAGGGCATTGTGGATCATGAAGAATGATCAGTGAATTAGAGTGGAGCTCAAAGGATTTTTTTGCAGCCGTAGTGAGATGCTTGAAGGCAAAAGTGGTGTAGGCACAGGTGGTAATAAGGTCAAGGGTGGGTGGCTGAAGTGAAATGGAGGTTATGGGGATCAAGAAAGTCAAGGAACTGAGAGGTCAGTGTTGAAGTTACTGGGAGAAAGACTGAGCCAGGAGCTAAAGTCCTCAGTGAATCAGGTCGGGTTAGTAGATACCGATGCTGAGGAGGAGCTATGGAGGCTAATAGTGAACTAGCTGCTGGTGTGAGCTTCTTCAGGACTGGAGTATTTGAAAGGGGAAGGAGAAGACATAATTTGGAAGTTGCATTGAGGAGCAGGGAACACACTTCTTGCTTTTGAGATGGAGTATGGAGAGATCTAAAAATAAAGCCCTTGAGAAGGTTGTGGAAGAAACTGCATCATTAGGGAATAGCCAGGTTTCTGTGAAGATAATCAAAAAGGAGGTTGAAGTTACAGGTGGGTGTAAGTATAGTTTCAGAGAGTATACCAAAAGGACTTGAGAGGAAGTAGGGGATTGGGTCCAACTAGGAGATAAAAGCATCAGTGATAATGGACAACCTAGGGGTCATTGAGTTTTTGCTGTAACTCAGGTAAACAAGAATAGCAGATGTGGTGGGATTAATTTCCAGTGAGCTGGTTGTGGAAGGTAGACCATCAATTAACCTTAGTTTGCTGATGACCTTGGGTAGGTGGTGAGAGATCATAAGTAATTCAGTGATCTCTTACTTGCCTAGTTAGCCAGGAAAGGCTGATTTTATCTTAAGGAGCTAAATTCTGAAATATTGCTCTGGAGTTGAACTTTGTTAATAAATACTTTTGTGACATTTGTTCACTAATACACAGTTCTAGGTCCTAAATCCCCATAGATGTGTCCCTGATATATCTTTTAGAAATGCATGTAGTAGGCATCTCAACATGCATTCCAACAGGAATGTGTGTCAGGTTTTGTTTTAGGAATTGCAAATATAAGATACAACCTCTGTTTTTTAGTTACTATGTGCCTGAGCAAGGGTTGTGAACATTTAACTCTGTAAAGTATGTGAATTTCTATATGTGTATGTATTTTGGGGGTTTCTTAGTGTTTTGAGGATTGTGGAGGGAAAAGGCGGGTCCATAGCTTTTTATCAGATTCTTGAAGGGGTCTATTTATTTAAGGACCTCTGGGCTAATAGGAGAGAAAGACATGTTAACCAGTCACTGTGGTGCAATGTAATCAATGTCATCATAGAGCAAGGTAAAGGGGGAACAGATTGACCTTGAGGAATGAGTTCATTATTTCAGTAAATGGTTTCATTTAGAAGGAATTTAGATGTGGTAGTCTCTGTTCTAGGTAATTTACTTATTATTTGAAATCTCCAATATCCTTTTTACATAAATATTAATCACATAGGAGTACCTTCAAATCTGGATCTGTCTGATTCCAAAATCTCCTTTTCATTTCATCATGTTGGGGAAACACTGAAAGACTGTAAACAAGAGTGTAGGATTATGCTTTCATTGTTAAGCTTGATAATAACAGAAGTGGGTCTTAAAAAATATTTGCTTTCCATCTTTATGGAATTTCTGTGCACTTACAAATTTGAAATAATTTGTCTATTATATGTTAGAATGTGCTTTTGTTTAATTATATTTTTCTTTTGAAGGGACCTTTTTAGGTTACTGTTACTCAAACCAAAAGATGACATCTATTATCAAATTAACTACCCTCTCTGGGGTCCAAGAGGAGTCTGCTCTTTGCTATCTTCTCCAGGTTGATGAGTTTAGATTTCTGTTGGACTGTGGCTGGGATGAGCACTTTTCTATGGATATTATAGATTCCCTGAGGAAGTAAGTTACATTTCATATTTCAAGACTTTTATTAAATAAACTTTAAAAAATCAGCTTCTTATTTCTATGCTTTTATAATACCATTTTAATGTTATAGAGGGTTGCTGTCTTTTCACTAGTTTAGTTCAGAGTAAAAGAATTTTATTTAAGCCAAAAAAGCTAAATAGTGACCATTTGGAAATCTTTTTTTTAGTTGTAGATGGACACAATACCTTTATTTTTATGTGATGCTGAGGATCGAACCCAGTGCCTCACTCATGCCAGACAAGTGTGCTACCGCTGAGCCACAGCCCTGGCCCTAAATAGTTACTGTTTTAACTTCAATTGACTTATAAGCTTTGTTTATTAAAATTCAGCAAAATTTTAAGTTAGTTGTTACTTGGCTAGTAGATTGCAGTAGAAATTTTTTTCCTTAATTTCTGGAAAAAGGAAGAGTTTGTTAAAAATTTTGACTATTCTACCTTCCACGTGGAAGTCCTGAAGTTGCATTGCAGTTGCATTGCGATAGCTCACTTCCTGCATCTCGTGATGCCTAACATTGTGCCTTAGTTCTCAGAATAATAGCTGCGAGTTACAAAAGGATCCTAATCTACCAAAAATAAACAAACAAATAAAATAAGTTCTGCTACTTTTGCAGAATTGTGCTAATTGTTGAAAGAAAGGAGACTTAAACATTTTTAAAAACTTAAAGTGAAGGGAAAAAAACCCCAAATCACTTGTTAATTTCCTTTGTCAGTGAGAATGTATGCTTCATTGATTAATTGGTATTTACTCTAATGAATGTGCTGTTGGTCACCATCCTACAAAGCTGAGACAAAATCCGTAAATCTGCGACCATTTAAATATCCTCTCCTTACCAATTTTTGAAATTCCAAGCTGAGTTATTGCATTTAAAATGGTAACATAGAAGATAGCCCTTTAAGATCACCTTATTTGTGGTGTCTCCTTTTTTTCTTTTGTAAATGTGTTTAGACATCATGTTTAGATGCAGCTTGTGACATGATTTTGTTATCTGTGTAGAGCGTGGTTAGTTACAATTGAAACTCACAGGTGTCGTAATTGTAGCTCTTCATTTTGCTCTTTGTTCCCCAGTATTGTCTTCAGTCCAGAATGGGTGAATAGTTTTGACTATTCTACCTTTGCCTTTAAATACAAGAATAAAAAAGTGGTCACTCTTGGTTATGTTCTCCCAGGCATGTTCACCAGATCGATGCAGTGCTGCTATCTCACCCGGATCCTCTCCATCTGGGTGCCCTCCCGTATGCTGTGGGAAAGTTGGGGCTCAATTGTGCCATTTATGCAACCATTCCTGTTTATAAAATGGGACAGATGTTCATGTATGATCTTTACCAGGTAATTTGAACAATTAAGAAAAAATTTTTATATTCTCATCAGTGATCATTTTTAACCTTTTGTTTGTGTTATTCTTTTAGTCTCGACACAATACAGAAGATTTCACACTCTTTACGTTAGATGATGTGGATGCGGCCTTTGATAAAATACAGCAGCTGAAATTCTCTCAGATTGTAAATTTGAAAGGTAAAAAATATTATCTGTAGTAAATAGTTGTACTAATAAAGGTTTTGTTTTGTTTTGGATTTTGTCTTTTGGTGCTGGGGATCAAACCCAGGGCCTTACGTGCGTTAGGCAAGTGCTCTCCCATTGAGCTATATCCTCAGCCCATACTCATGCAGTTTAATCCTCTGAAAAATACTGAGAATTCATAATAAAATTTATGAGTAGGTGCTGGGGTTGTGGCTCAGTGGTGAAATGCTCGCCTAGCATGCATGAGGCACTGGGTTCGATCCTCAGCACCACATAAATGTAAAAAATAAATATATTGTGTCCATCTAAAACTAAAAAAAATTAACATTAAAAAAAAATTTATGGGTGCTGTGGTCTGAAGACAAATCATTAGCATTTTCTGCCTTGACATGGATCTCTGAACTTCCTGATTTTAAAAGTATGCCAAACTAAAAACTAACAATTTTAATAGCTCAGACCTTTTTATATTTAGCTTGGGAAAGGCTTATTTTGGTGTTGACAGTGTAAAATGAACAAAAGTAATGTGTCCAGATCCTCCTCCTTGGGGCTTATGGTTTGATTGAGTAGCTCAGATGTGCAAATGAAGAAATTAAAGGAAATGACTGAATTCTAGAATTGGGATATAAAAAGCTAATTTTTTAATTAGGTCAGGATGTCATATTAAGTCTATATTGATGATATAAACAGGTATTTTAGAGATTTTCTTTGAAATGAACTCCAGAGATCATGCCAGCGTTAGAAAAAATGGTATACTAATGAACTGTTGGGATTTAACAAGAAACTAAGAATAGTATTAATAGTTTTGCTTGTATTTAGTTTTTCCATAGGATAAATTCTTTTCCCTAATGAGATTTATATTTTTATTTTCTGTTTGAAGGTTAGCAAAAATGGAAATGCTTGATAATTGTTTGTACGATATAAATATTAAAATTTACGACTATGAATGTTCTGTAGTGGTTAAGCACTTGCCTAGTATGTGTAAGAGCCTGAGTTCAGTCCCCAGCACCACAAAAAATAAATTAATTAATTGAATCTTATCTGTTCCTATTAAATAGTTTAATAGTGCGCTGACTTTAAAGTATAATCTCTAACCTTCAGTTTATCAGTACAAATATCTCCACAAAAATACATAATAAGGGGCTGTGGCTGTGGCTCAGTGGTAGAGCGCTTGCCTAGCACATGCAAGGAGCTGGGTTCAGTCCTCCGCACCACATAAAATAAAGGTATTGTGTCCAACTACAAAAAAATACATCATAAAGTGACAAGTGTTTGTCTTCATTACGAAAATGGGGATAGGAGAGTCAGATTTACTTTTTTTTGTTTTTAAGTTGTTGATGGACCTTTATTTTATTTATTTATATGTGGTGCTGAAAATTGAACCCAGTGCCTCACACATACTAGGCAAGTGCTTTACCACTGGGCTACAATCCCAGCCCACCAGACTTATTTTTCACTCTTTGCATTTTTATTTCTAAAATACAACCTTTCTTTAGGGTTGTGAAACCAATCTGAATGTTGTCATTATCTTGTTGACATAGGTAAAGGACATGGCTTGTCTATCACACCTTTGCCAGCTGGTCACATGATAGGTGGAACAATATGGAAAATAGTCAAAGATGGAGAAGAAGAAATTGTTTATGCAGTTGACTTCAACCACAAGAGGGAGATGTAGGTATATCAAGACAAAAGATAAAGAAATTGCAATTGGTATTATTTTATTTGAAGGGAAAATTAGAAGCAATGTTTTAGTTTTTTTTCTTTTCTCCAACCAGAAATACAGAGTAACTTAAAAGCACCAAATAGTGAATGTTTTTGTTATTACCTGCTTTGTAAGGGGAAAGTTTGGTACAGGACATAAAAGTGATTTTATTTGTATGCACTCTATAAAATAGGTGTCTCCCTGCATGTGTTGCAGAGGAAGTGAATTTTTGTACATTAAATTAGATTTTATGCTCTTGGTTTACTATTTATCAGTCTTTGTGGGAGGGTTGTTAAGTCAGTAATTACATATAACTATTTTTTATTATAATTATTAGCACATATACAGATTTATGGTTTTCACTCTGACATTTCCATATATGCAAATATTGTGTTGTGTGGGGGGCGGGTTACTGGGCATTGAACTCAGGGGTGCTTTACCACTGAGCTACATTCCCAGACCTTTTTTAGAAAATTTTTATTTTGAGATGGGTCTTGTTGAGTTATCCAGGGTGGCCTCAAACTTGCAGTGCTCCTGCTTCAGCCTTCCCAATTGCTTGGACTACAGGAGAGTGCCGCTGCACCCAGCCATATATGTGCCTTTTTTTTTTTTTTTTTTTTTTTGGTGCAGGGTACCTGGGATTGAACTCAGAGGTACTTGGCCACTGAGCCACATCCCCAGCCCTATTTTGTATTTTATTTAGAGACAGGGTCTCACTGAGTTGCTTAGCACCTCGCTATTGCTGAAGCTGATTTGAACTCTCCATCCTCCTGTCTCAGCCTCCTGAGCTGTGGTATTACAGGTGTGTGCCACCATACCTGGCTATATATTGTGCTTTGATCATGTCTACTCTCTTTTCTACTGTCATCTCATCCTGTTCCCCAATAACCCCCTCCTCTTTCCCTAATAGTTCTTCTACTTTCAGGGTCTTTTTTCTCTTGATTTGCGTTTCCCTGATGGCTACAGATATTGAGAGGAAACACATGATACTTGTCATTATGTTTAACTTATTTCACTTAACATGATGTTATATATAGTTCTATCCATTTTCCTGCAAATTACATGATTTCATTCTTCTTTATGGCTGAATAATACTCTATTGGGTATGCCATGTTTTCTTTATCTATTCATCTGTTGATGGGAATCTAGGCTGATTCCATATCTTGGCTGTTGAGAATAGTGCCACAATAAACATAGATATGCAGGTGTATCTTTTGTGTGCTCACTTTATTTTCCTTAGATCAGTACCTGGGAGTGGTATAACTAGATCATATGGTAGTTTTATTTTTAGTTTTTTGAGGAACCTGTATATTGTTTTCCTTAGTGGCTGTACTAATTTACATTCCCACCAAGTATATACAGGTTCCTTTGTCTCTACCTCTAGCCAGCATTTGTTAGTTTTTTTTTTTTTTTTTTGTAGTGCTGGGGCTTCAATCTGGGGCCTTGTGCATGCCTGGTCTACCATTGAACCATATCCCCAGCCCTCAATGTAGTTTTGATTTGCATTTCCCTGATGGCTAAAGATATTTTTCCCCCATATCTTTATTGGCCATTCATATACTACTTTTTTTTTTCCTTGTACTAGGATTTGAACCCAGGGTTGCTTTACCACTTAGCTATATCCGCAGTCCTTTTTATTGTTTATTTTAAGACAGGGTCTCACTAAGGTGCTAAGGCTGGCCTAGAATTTGTGATCCACTTGCCTCAACCTTTCAAGTCACTGAGATTACAGGTGAGCACTACCAGGCGTGGCTCATACTTTTGAGAAGTGTCTAATCAGGTTGTTTGCCCATTTTTTAATTGGATTACTTGTTCTTTCATTGTTAATTTTTTTTTTTTATTCTGGATATTAATCCTGCATCAGATAAATAGCTGGCCAATATTTTCTCCTATTCTGAAGGCCATTTCTTCACTGTTAATTGGTTCCTTTGCTGTGCAGAAGCTTTTTAAATTTGAATAATCCTGTTTGTTCTTGCTTTTGTTTCCTGAGCTATTGGAATCCTGTTCAGAAAATTGTTGTCTATGCCAAGTCTTGAAGTATGTCTCCCATGTTTTCTTCTAGAAGTTTTAGGTCTTACATTATGGTCTTTGATCCATTTTTTAGTTGATTTTTGTACAGGGTGAGAGATGGGAAGCATGGTTCAGTCTTCTACCTATGGTTGTCTGAGTTTTATTAGCAGCATTTGTTGAAGAGGCTGTCTTTTTCCAACATATGTTTTTAGCACCTTTGTTGAGAATCAATTACCTGTAGATGAGTGCCTTTATTTCTGGGTCCTCTAGTTTATTCTTTTGACCAACATGTCTGTTTTGGTGCAAATACCATACTATTTGTTTATTTGTTTTTTTCCACATTTTTCCATGCTGTTTGTTACTATGGTTCAATAGTATGTTTTGAAATCAGGTATTATGATGCCTCCAGCATTGCTCTTTTTGCTCAGGATTGCTTTGGCTCTTAAGGTTCTTTTGTAGTTCCATATGAATTTTAGAGTTCTTTTTTCTAGTTCTATGAACAATGTCTTTGATATTTTGATAGGGATTACCTTGAATCTATAGATTACTTTCAATAGTATGGCCATTTTAACAGTATTAATCCTTCCACTCCATGAGCATGGGAGGTCTATTCTTTATCTAATGTCTTCAATTTCTTTCTTAGTGTTTTATACTTTTCATTGTATATAGGTCTTTTATCTGCTTGGTTATTTTTATTCTTGGGTGTTTTTTTTTTTAATTAAATTACTGTGAATGGAATTGTTTTTCTGCTTTGTTTCTCAGAGTGTTCATTATATTGGTGTATAGAAAAAGTGTTCATTTTTGTATGTTCATTTTGTTTCTTGCTATTTTGCTGAATTTATCAGCTCTAATAATGTCAGATTCCCTTTAAAGGAGGACACAATAATTATATTTTTACATATTTCATTTGGTACAGCATTATTTTTTAACATTTTTCATGTTTGGTTTCATACAGGTTTCTTTTGCCATATCTACACATTGTTCATCGCTATTTTATATTACAAGTAGCCTCAAGGTCTTTATATTAAGAAATATTTAAAACTAATAGATTGAGTTTAGACTCTTGTAATCATAGATTAATGAAGACAGTGTGGGTGTTTGAGTAAATGGTAAACCAACTTAACAATATTGGAAAAGAATTAATTTGTGTCTTTTATCATATGACAAAATAAATTTCAAATGCCTTAGAATTAAATAGAAAAGGAAGTAATATTGGTGAGTTCATGAGTTAGTCTTTCTGGTAAACCTTCTGGAAAAGGGAGTTTTCTGGAATACTTGTATATTCTAGTAAATGTAGTTGTGTGTGTGTGTGTGTGGTGGTGTGTGTATGTACACACACACACATACATATATTTATATATAAATATATAATTACATTACATAATATATATGAAGACACATGGTATGACTCTACTTTGTGTACAACTAGAGAAATGAAAAATTGTGCTCCATATGTGTACTGTGAATCAAAATGCATTCTGCTGTATGTATAACAAATTAGAACAAATAACTTAAAAAGATAAATATTATATATTTTATATATGATATATATATAATATAATATTTATATATATATAGTATTCTAGTATTTAGTAATACTTGTATATTCTAATAAATACATTTCTGGGAATGTGTCCTTAAAAAACAATCAAAATGCAACTGAAGCTTTTTGTAAAGATGTTCTTTGAAAGATATAATGGCAAAAAGAGACCTAAATATCAATAAAAGGAAATGATCAAATAAACATAGTATAGACTTGATAGAAAGTTTTCACAATTGTTAAAAATTAGGTTTAGGAAAAAATTTTAATGGGGAATAAAAGGATATAGAACTGAATGTAGAAGCATACATGGATAGCCACTTTTTAAAATGTACACGTAAGCTGGGCATGGTGGGGTTGTTCCTGTAATCCTAGCAACTTGGGAGACTGAAACAGGAGGATCACAAATTTGAGGACAGCTTGGGCAACTTAATGAGACCCTGTCTCAGAATAAAAAATTTAAAAAAATGCATATGTATATGCATAGAAAAATTTATAAGCTTAGAAGGATGAACCTAATAGTATATCAGTAATCTTGAATGATGGTACTCTGGAAATTTTTTTTTTCTTTATACATTTTGAATTTATCAGATTTCAAAAAATTAACGAGCAAATATATTAACCAGGGAAATAAAAAATGCTTTTAAAAGCAACTGCTTGTTTTTTTAAGAGAAGCTATTATTGTTTATTTGAAATGATATAAAATATTCTTTTTAAACTTTGTTATAGCCACTTAAATGGATGTTCCCTGGAAATGCTAAGCAGACCCTCTCTACTTATCACAGATTCATTTAATGCTACATATGTGCAGCCTAGAAGAAAACAGAGAGATGAACAACTTCTGAGTATGTATTATCCACTGTCCCCTTTAAAGAGCTGTGTGAGTGCATGGTAGCATGAATCACAGTGAATTGTGTTTAACTTAGTCAAAAGAGATTGGCTAACTACTACTTTTTTGAAGAAATATATGGCCACCTCAGTATTTTGTATAAGAAAATGCTTTTGTGAAATGGATGTGAATTGTCTTCTCCCTGCCATTCAACACATGGCTAGTTAGCTCTCCTGGGCGCTACTGGTATATAAAGACCTCATACATATTTAATAGAAAAACACACTCTAAAAGAAAACTAGAAGATATGAGGGTACAAATAGTCCTCTGGTTTGGTGTTGGGTGTTTTAATTATAATTAGTCATCTTGGTCTTCAAGAGCCTCTGAGTCATTATGGTTCACTTCTGCTTTGGTTTGAGCTGCTTCACTTCATTTTTTTTTATAAGTTATATGAGATTTCAATGGGAAAATTAGATTTCACTATGTTAATACAATATTTACATATATATTAAATACATATGTTAATAACCACTACCTTAATTTAGGGCTGGGGCTGTAGCTCAGTGGTAGAGCAATTGCCTAGCATGTGTTAGGCATTGGGTTTGATCCTCAGCACCACATAAAAATAAACAAATAAAGGCATTCTGTCCATCTATAATTATAAAAAAAAATTTCTTTTAAGTATAAATAGTATATTGCATTTCTCTAATTCACTGATTTTAGAAAGCTCTTGCTTTTGTTTGTTTGTTTATTTGCTGGAGTTTGCTTTTACCAAGTATTTCTAAGACTTTTACCAGAGCAAAGAAATCTATTTATAAAAATGCTTTTGTTGGAAGAGAATATGAGAATATGATCTATATTTTATTCTACATGTATACAAAATATATATTTTATATGTATACATATATATACACACCCACATATATACACACAGATGTATAAAATTATGTGCATGTGTTTGAATGTACATATAAATTTGGTAATTAATCTTAACAAACTTCATTGGGCTAGACAGGTGGTAAGTCCAGGATGACCTGGAAGCCCCAAGCTGGTTGCATTTGACCTAGTCATTGAATTTTCCCAGTGTTACAAGTACCATTTTCTATGTGGACTTGACATGAAAATGTTAGGAACTACTGATTTATAATTTTTCAATGACTTAAAAAAAGTTAATGGTATTGTTTTTTACTCTTATGAAGATATATTTAACAGAATCAAAAGTGGATGTGCTGGGGTTGAGGCTATAGCTCAATAGCAGAGTGCTTGCCTAGCATGTGTGGGGCACTAGATTTGATCCTTAGCACTGCATAAAAATAAACAAGTAAAATAAAGGCAAGCTGTCCAGATACAACTGCAAAAAAAAAAAAAATGGTTATGCTGACTTAAACAAAATTCTTTCACTTTGTACCTGACCTAGTAATTGCTTATGTATAAATTATAGTATTTGTCATAAAAAAAGGGAGACAGAGTTGTCTTTAATTTTATAGCAAAGTATTAATTTTGAACTACAAAGATTTTACATTCCTGTTTTCTAGCAAATGTCCTGGAAACACTTCGAGGTGATGGAAATGTATTAATAGCAGTGGACACTGCAGGCAGAGTTTTGGAACTTGCTCAACTTCTTGATCAGATCTGGAGAACTAAAGATGCAGGATTGGGTGTTTACTCCTTGGCACTCCTAAATAATGTCAGTTATAATGTGGTGGAGTTTTCTAAGTCCCAGGTTTGTTATTGTCCATAATAAAGAACTTTGCTACAGTGATTGGGCTTATGGACTTTAGTGTCTTAATTGCCTTTTGTATTTCATTTTTCTGAAGGGGTGGTTAATAATAATAGCTCAGCATTAACTGTTTACTGGCTATGGGTGCTTTATATGTATGTGTTATTTAATCTACATGCACCCTATGAAGTAGTGTTTGCCTCCATTTTACAGATTAAGCAGGTTGCTTCTCTTCTAACTCTTGTTCTACCAGTCTGTATAAAATGGGGATAAATATATATCCTACTTCATAGGATATAAATATTAGAATTCATTGTTCTTTCTTTTGAATAAGGTGTTTCTCTTTAAATAGCAGTCTGTAGGGTAAGTTATTTATTTAGAACATATACACTGCCTTCTCTAAAAGATTTAGATCACTTATAATGAAACAGTACAGAATTTGATTTTTAAGGATGAAATTTTTAGGGGCGCGAGGATCTAATGGGGAACACAATTTGCTTATCAAATGGTATAGACTTAAGCTACTGTGGGTAAAAAGACTTGAAACAAGATAGAACTTGAATTCCTTGACTGTTTTAGAATACATTGAAGTTACAGTATTTTCTAATAATTGTCATCTTTTTTTCCTATATTAGGTAGAATGGATGAGTGATAAATTGATGAGATGTTTTGAAGACAAAAGAAATAATCCATTTCAGTTTCGCCATCTCTCTTTATGCCACGGTCTTTCTGACTTGGCTCGTGTGCCTAGCCCCAAAGTTGTACTTGCCAGCCAACCTGACCTGGAATGTGGATTTTCAAGGGATCTCTTTATTCAGTGGTGTCAGGACCCTAAAAACTCAATCATTCTGACTTATAGAACTACTCCTGGGACTTTAGCACGTTTCCTAATTGATAATCCTTCTGAAAAAATTACAGAAATAGAGGTGAGCAAACACTGTATCTTATAACTGTTGGGGGTATTTTATGCATAATGTATAAAAATCAGGGACCAAAAGCAAAACTTGAAATTGTTTTGGAATTTTTTTAAGAATAGCAGTAGAGAAGAAAAAAAAGAATAACAGTAGAGAGCCTTTTTTAATTATACATGACAGTAGAATGTACTTTGTTACATCATCATACATAGATGGAGGATAATTTCTCATTCTTCTGGTTATACATGATGTAGAATCCCACTGGTCATAACTCTATTCTTCCCTAGCCCCCCTTTCCTTATTGTGAATTAGCATATCAGAGAAAACATTTGACCTTTGGTTTTTTGGGATGGGCTTATTTCACTTAGCATAATATCCTCCAGCTCCATCCATTTACTGGCAAATGCCATAATTTCATTGTTTTTTAAGGCTGAGTTAGAGAGCCTTTTACAGCACAAACTTACAAGCCCCTTCTCAATCTTAAACTCCTGCAGGGTACCTTCTAGAATCATACTGGGAGGGAATACATATACACAGTATCTTCTTTTTCTGAAAAGTTCCTTGTCTTTGCTTTCCCTAATTGAAATCTGGCTGCTTCGCATAGTGTTCTTTTCTGTAGGCCTCTTAAATAGATAGGCTTTTCCTTTTCTCATTTCTTCTGTGCTGGGTAAGTCTCCTCCTTGTTCTGTGCTACAGTTTTTAAGCCATTTTTCTTTTCTTTGCAGCTTATGCCATCAGACCTGATGATATATATATGAATCCCTCTTTGTTTCTGACATTTCTTAATCTTGTGGTTGTTCTCTGTCACTCATCAGTGATTTTAGACCCTAGTTCATGGCCTGCTTGCCCACTTGTATTCAGGACTCCTTTCTTGTCTTGAGCATCCACATGGCTGCTCTGTCCAGTTCTTTAGTCCTCTCAGTTCCTTATGCCTTTCTTCTCAGTGAGCTTTCCTCCACTCTGCCCTGGCTGTCCATTCCCCTCTCCTGCTCTCTACCTCAACTCCCCTACTCTGATCTTACGGCTGACTTTCCCTTCTACTCCCATGCCAAGAGCTCTTTAGTTCCACTGAGACTTTCAGTTCGTGAATCTCACTGTCCAGCATTCTTATTTAGAGTCATTGATCCATGATTAATCATTTAGTAAACACCTTTAAATCTCTTACCATTCTTCTGTTTATTTTACTCACCTGGCAAAGCCTTGGTACTAAACTATTTGCTTAGTCTGTACCTGCATTCAAGCAGCTTTTTCACTGGAGTTAAATGTGACCGTGTGGACAGGTTTCTCTATATTTTCATGACTTCACATCTCAAAAGGGCACCTAGTACTAGCACTCTACATTCTATAGGATATTCGTTTTCTCTCTGTCTAGTAAGGACATTTTTATGCCTCTAATTCCTTAAATAACCTATAATACACTCTTATTCATAGCACATGATCTTGTCTGAAAAGTAGCAGAGAAGTAGAAGTAGTCAGACAGGAATTCCTGTATCTCATTGTCACTAAATATACTAACCTGTTCCTGCATCCAGACCTGCTGCCTTAGCAGACAATTAGCAGAATGACCAAGATGCTAAAAGATGATTTGGCTTGATAACAAATCCATCAGATCTGTCATTTTCCCAAAACTAGTATCATTGACTCTACTGTTTATAGTCATCGATATTGGATGGTTTGGTTAATAAGTGCCAGGGTTGTATAAAGTTTTAGATGATTACTTTTCATTTTGTCTTCATAGCAACCATTTAAAAGATCATTTGGTTTTTAAAAGCTAAGTTGTATCTTTGTCTTATATAACCTATTTATAAGAAAACTGTAATATTAGTAAATAATATCTGATATGTATTGACTGTAAATACAGAATTGTTGAGCAAAGGATTCAGAGAAAGTATATCAAAGTAAAATACTGTCTTAGGTTACTTAATAGCTTAGAAATACAAAATTAAAAACTCAGAAGTACTTAAAGCAGTTTAATGAGATATAAAATACCTAATTTAAAAATTTTAATTACTAGAAATTTAATTAGGCCTGATATGCCATTTGAGGAATTAATAAAAGAATATTAAAACTTTGAAGAAAGTGACATTCCAATGTGTCCTCATGAAATCCGAAGCAGCTGAAAATAGGATATGACAAATTTTTTAGTATTTAAAAAGTAATACTTGTGTTGAGGATTCTTTCCCTGCTCACCTTCTTAGGGATATGTCTTCTGCAGTTATCTCTTATCTCTCCATCATTCATCTTTTTTCCCCTCTACTTGATCACATCCCAAACAATTTTTACACTTACCTTTCCCCCCTCCTCCTGACCTGCTCTTCTCTGTCTTCCTCATGGGAAAGCTTCCCCTTATACTCGAGCCAAAAATCTAGAAAATTAAAAATGCTCACTGAAGTATAATATATACTGAAACGTGCATATCATAAGTATAGTGTGTGATATTTTTCACATACTGAACACACTTGTCTAGCCTGCACCTAGTTTAAGAAATAGAATCAGCCCCACATACGCCTACTTCCTGACTCTGTCTCTCCCTATCCCTGGGGGTAACCAGTGTCCTGTACAGGTTATTAATGCACGGATCATTCAACTTATTTTTTTTGTTACTTTTCTCTCAACATCCACACCTAGTTCAGCAAGTTACATTGACCTGACCGCCTGACATATCCTGTATTATCTGCTTTTCTCTTTCTCTTCTGCTGTCATCCTAGCCCAATGCTAAGTGTCTTGCCTAGACTCTGCAGTAGTTTCTGAACTGGTTTTTCTATTTTTATTTTTTCATTCCCTTAATAATAAATAAAATAATAATAAAAATAAAAGGTGACCAAAGCCATCTTTTATGTGGTGGTGGTAAAAAATGCATATAATTTGCTATCTTAACCATGTTTTAAGTGTACATTACAGTAGTGTTAGTTTTTTTAAGATTTTTTTAAAATAATTTTTTAATTGTAAATGGACACAATACCTTATTTTATTAGTTTTATTTTTATGTGGTGCTGGGGATAGAACCCAGTGCCTCACTGCTAGGCAAGTGCTCTACCACTGAGCCACAATCCCTGCCCCAGTAGTGTTAGTTTTTAATGGTGCTGGTGATTGAACCCAAGGCTTTGTGCATGCTGAGCAAGTGCTCTACCTTTGAGCTACATCCCTAACCCCATTTTCTATGAACCCCAAGGATTCAGAGAAAGTATATCATTCCTTTTTTTTTCTTTTTAGTTGTAGATGGACACAAAACTTTATTTAATTTGTTTATTTTTATGTGGTGCTCAGGATTGAAACCCAGCCCCCCCACATGCATTTTTAAAAAAATTTTTATAAATGGCAGATGGAGACCAAAGTTTATGATAGCAGTGGCATAATAAATCATGAAGGTAAAGGTTTTATTAAAATTTATTTATGGGGGTTAGGGATATAGCTCAGTTGGTAGAGTGCTTGCCTTGCATGCACAAGGCCTTGGGTTCAATCCCTAGCACCACAAAAACAAAATAAATTTATTTATGAATAAAGTGTCTATGTGAGTTACTAACTGTAATGAAAAAAAGACACTGTAATGAAACTTGTTTTCAGATAAATTACTAGACAGATGTGGGATACCTATGTAAACATGTAATTCACTTATATTAGAAGTGCCTGAATTTGGTTTAACTTTTTTTTCCTTTGTATTTTGAACTAATTTCAAACTTAACAGGAAAGTCACAAAAATAGTATGCCTAGATTCCTCAGTTTTCAATGTTTTTACTGGATTTGCTTTATATATATTTGTCCTTTATGATGTGTTACCTTTTTCTTTTTTTAATATATTTGCTTGTCGATGAACATTTATTTATATGTGGTGCTGAGAATTGAACCCAGTGCCTCACACATGCCAGGCAAGCACTCTACCACTGAGCCACCACCCAGCCCCCTTTTTCTTGATTTGAAAGAGCTCTTAGGAAAAAGTAGCTTCTGATATGCCACTGTTTTTTCTGTTTCTTTTAATTTGGTGAGACTTAAAGGTTTTTTTTTTGTTGTTGTTGTTGGTGGTGTATTTTTAATTTTTTGGTACCAGGAATTGAGCCCAGGGGTACTTAACCACTGATTGACATCCCCAGCCTTTTTTTATTTTTTATTTTGAGATGCAGTCTTGCTAAGTTGCTTAAGGCTTTGCTAAGTTGTTGAGGCTGGCTTTGAACTCACAATCCTGTCTTAGCCTCCTGAGCAGATGGCATAACAGGTGTGCACCACCACGCCCAGTTCTGTCTTTTGAGCTTTATGTCATATAAGGGTTTTATTTGCCTCATCTACTCCAAATCATAAAAATACTTAACCTGCATTTTCTTTCTCAGATTGCCCGCTGCTTTTTAACCGGTTTCAATTAAACCCACCTTAGATGTAAAACAACTCAATTTTAGTACTAATCTAAATAGGATTTATAATTACATTAATGGAAATTTGTTTAATTTCAGAGAAAAGTTTAAAGATGATGAATCAGTTTAGAACTATGATGTATCTCACACCCCACTGCCTTAACCCCCAATACTGATATTTTGTCTGTTGTTTTTCATTAGTTGAGGAAACGTGTGAAGCTTGAAGGGAAAGAACTTGAAGAATACTTGGAAAAAGAGAAGCTAAAGAAGGAAGCTGCTAAAAAACTTGAACAATCAAAGGAGTGAGTTATTTTCATAAATAGTACAATTTTATGTATGTAATTTGAAATGTATTTCTAAGACTTAAACATTCAGTTGAAAATATTTCAACTTTCTTAGGACTTCATTACTTTTGTTACATCTTTCATGGCTAAAGTAACAAATCCTTTTGGTGTTAATATTAAACATATTTATGAACTGGCAGTTAATGTTTTACAAAATATTGATCCAATCGTATTAAGTATTTTTATGATATCACTCAAATTAATATTGAATTAATAATATGGAATGTTAATTCAGTGACTATTTTATAAATATTAATTCAAAATCTGTTTGGATGTTTGTGACCTTGATCTATTCCAAATTCCTCCTAGGGCAGATATTGATTCCAGCGATGAGAGTGATGTGGAAGAAGATATTGACCAGCCGTCAGCTCATAAGACAAAGCACGACCTGATGATGAAAGGTGAAGGTAGTAGAAAAGGAAGCTTCTTCAAACAGGCAAAGAAATCTTATCCCATGTTTCCTGCCCCAGAAGAAAGGATTAAATGGGACGAGTATGGAGAGATCATCAAGTATGTGAGCACAACAAAACCTTATTTATTTAAGGATCCAGTGTTTAATTAAACACAGTGATTTAGTCTTTTTGGTCACCATGTACTTTAAGTTCTGAGCATCTTGGCTTAAAGGATGTAGATTTATAGTTTGAAACATAGAAATGTTGAGGAACATTGGAGAATTAATATTAAGGGAGAAGTGATAGTTTTATTACTTAGTTGTAGGGAAAGTTTAAAAAGATGACCTAAACTTTCCCCCTCTTGAGAAGTAATGGCCATGCTTGGGTGAAGGACATAGGATAAAAAGAACTTGCAGTGGTAATTGTAGTTTAGGAAATGGATTTAGTTACAAGAGGAATATGAGATGAACCATGGGAAATCTACACCCACTACTAGAAAAACTATTGAAATTATGTTCTGTTTGCAGATTTGAATACACCACTAACCTGTGTAGAAATCCTCAGGGTGCAGTTTCTGTTTTTTCCCTGGTTGATGTCAGATGCCTCAGCATAATTACAGTGTCTTTCACAATCCAGTTTTTTCCTACTTCTCTATTCATTCTCTCCCCCTCTCTCTCTCTCTCTCTCTCTCTCTCTCTCTCTCTCTCTCTCTCTCTCTCTCTCTCCCTCCCTCTCCCTCCCTCCCTCCCTCCCTCTCTCTCCCTCTCCCCCCCTCTCTCTCGTACCAGAGATTGAACCCTGAGGTGCTCTACCACAGATCCACATCCCCTGCCCTTTTTTTTTTAATATTTAAAATTTTTTTTTTAGTTTTCGGTGGACACAACATCTTTATTTTATTTTTATGTGGTGCTGAGGATTGAACCCAGCTCCTCATGCATGCCAGGTGAGCGCACTACCACTTGAGCCACATCCCCAGCCCCATCCCTGCCCTTTTCATTTTGTATTTTGAGACAGGATCTCACTAAATTGCTTAGGGCCCCCCCAACCCTCCCTGATTTTTGAGACCAGGTTTCCCTCTGTTGCCCTCGCTTGTGTCAAAATATTGGGCTCAAGCAGTCCTCCTGCCTCAGCCTCTCCAGTAGCTGGAACCACAGGCATACACCTCCACCTGGCTTTGTTTCTCTGTATTTCTTGTTCTTTCTTTCTTTCTTCCATAATGCTGTCTTCTGCATGTAGAATGACTTAGGTCATTCTTGGGTATAATTAGGAAAATACCATTTCTACTTGGCTGTCTAAAATAATGAGGAAACATAACTTCACTCTAGCGAGTTTGCTTATTATTCCACTTGATGAGTGGCCTGTGTGTTTAACATATGGACTGTGCTCTTCAGCTTCAACGTCCTTATCTGAAAAATGGTGATAGGAATTAAACGAGGTTGCTTTTTGTTGGTGGAGGTTTTATTTTGGATGCTAAGGATTAGACTCAGGCTATACTCCCCAGCATAAGGTTGTGTTTCTTAGGCACTTAGTATAGAATCTAGCTCATAATAAATGTGCTTTAAGTGGTTGCTACTGCTGTTGTTAGATTGTTGTTGGAGATACGGACTACCTGGGTTTTGCGAGGAGATCTGGATTCTCAGAGAGGAGTGGGAATGGATTTGGGAGTAAAGCATAGACAGTTATAGGAGGTTAGAGAGAATGTTAAAAGATGATTTTGGTTTTACTTTTGGTTAGGATTCTGATATTGGAAGTAAAAATGGAAAGAGCAATGTGTTAATAATACATTGAAATTAAGATGAAGGTTATGAGGGAGCTAACAATTTTGTATGCCAACCTTTTCAGTGTTGTGCAAATAGTCTTCTGCTTTCTTTGGGCAGAAAGGAAGTAACTGGGGGTCTTAAGTACGTTAGAGGAGTTCTGAGATTTATAGGTATTGGGATTTGATGAAGGAAACCACAAACATTGGCCAAAAGTAATGATTGCTAAGAATGCATGAGAGCTGGGTTGTGGCTTTGAGGTAGAACGCTTGCCTACCATGTGCGAGGCACTGGGTTCGATCCCTAGCACCACATGAAAATAAAATAAAGGTATTGTGTCCACCCACAACTAAAAAATAAAGTGTTTTTTTTTTTTTTTTTTTAAATGCAGGACCAGCTTATGACAGCACTTGTTGTAGCCACTGAGGTCTTCTAATGACCTGTCAGAGGCCTTTCACTAGTCCATGTGATGTGCTTAAAGAGCATTTTTTAGTGTTAGGAGAAACATAACATATATAGTCATCTGATAATTGATATTATGAAATTGTCCTGGCTTTGGATCAAATGCATATTTAAGTCTTAAAATAATGTGAGGAGTCTAAAAATTATGCCACCTACTAGTTAGTTATATGTATTATATAATATTAGCTTGCTTTTTACTACTTCTAATTAGAGACTTATTATTTAGACCAGAGGATTTCTTAGTGCCAGAACTTCAAGCTACTGAAGAAGAAAAAAGCAAATTAGAATCTGGCTTGACAAATGGAGATGAACCCATGGATCAAGATTTATCTGATGTTCCTACTAAGTGTATTTCTACAACAGAGTCTATTGAAATAAAGTAAGTCCTTTTACCTTGTTTCAAAAATGAAATTTCCAAATGTCCTCTGGTAAGTTTATGCTTTTAAATTTTAATATCAGTGGTAGAGCACTGACTTGCATGCACAATGCCCAGTGCCAGAAAAATGGTAATAATAATTTATTTTTCAATGAAAAGACTTGTGAAGAATGGTGGTATTTTCTCTTCATTAAGCAATATTTGAATACCAAAATAATTGATTTAGTGGTTGGAGGGGGATGAGTTGAACAGGAAATTTTACATTTACTTGGAGAAACACTTTTTCTAGCCTTTTAGTAAGTGCAAAAACAGGTGGAAGAAAGTAATACAGCTCAAAAATTTAATTTTTCTTAGTAACTGCTCATTTCACAAATGTATTCCTTGACTCAAACATCTCCAATGTGCTAATGTCTAGAAAATTTAATATGTTCTGAAGTAGGTAAGCCTTTTTTCCCTTTTATTTAGTATATGTTAATAATAGCAATAAGTGATTATTTTGGAAATTTTTTTTTTTGAGTCTTCAGTGAGCAAATTGGTTTATTTGTTGCAGGGATATCTTTTGTATATACTTTGGTATAGCCAAGATGTAACTAATGCTATTAATAATATAACTTGTATTTCTCAAATCATCATTTTATATATTGTATGTTTCTTTACTGATGATAAAATTCATTTTTAGAAAGCCTAGTTTTTATCAGAAAAGCAAGCTTGAATAATCATGTTTAATTACAGAGCCAGGGTTACTTATATAGACTATGAAGGACGCTCTGATGGGGATTCCATTAAGAAAATCATTAATCAGATGAAACCACGACAGTTGATCATTGTCCATGGCCCACCAGAGGCCAGTCAAGATCTGGCAGAGTGCTGCCGCGCGTTTGGTGGGAAGGATATTAAAGTGTACATGCCAAAGCTACACGAAACAGTCGATGCCACCAGTGAAACACACATCTACCAGGTAAATATGCTGACAGTTGAGCCTCTTAGAAATAAGTACTTTTGTTGCATATTAGGACAGATACATTTGGAGTACTGGGGGAGGGGGCTGAGGCCTATGTGGCTCCTGCCTTAGCAGATCCGATAGTCTGTGGGTTTACAAGTCAGTAGTGTTTTACACACACTTAGATCTCCACTAGCGGAAGTGCAGAATGCCATGAGAATGGAAAGAGGAGGACCCCACCATATTTGGAGGTGTAGGAAAGGTTTCCTGGAAAATAACTAATCTGAACATCTGCTAGGATGCAGCTGGGTTGTCGGGACAGATGGAGTAGGAAAGAGGAGCAAAGAGTGTTCTAGGCAGAGGGAACAGTATTTATAAAAGTATAGAAATAAAGAGAATGATGAGTATTCAAGAATGAAAAGTAAAAAAAACAAAACAAACCCCACAGATATCAGGGTTCTTCTAATTGAAACAAATGGAGAAATGGAGTCAGGCATAGAAAACAGGATTAGTATAGAGGAGAGATGAACTTTAATCTGGTTGTGGGACAAAGAGACAGTTTAAAGTAGGGGTGAGGTCTGTATCAGGGGGAGGAAAATAAGGGTTAGAACATCCCAGGCAGAAAAGTTATTCTGAGCAGAGCAAGAGGAAGCAGCATTCCAAGAACATGGAGGTGTGAAACTGCATGGTATGTTCAGGAAAGCACAAACAGCTCATAACTAAAGTACACCAAGCACCAGACGGGAGACCGCTCAGTGGTTCTCAGCCTTGGATACACATGAGACCCATCTGAGTGCTCTGGTCTCAATCTCACTAGTTATATTAGTACCACTGGAGGTGAGGCCCTGGTGTTAATATTGAAAACAAACAAACAAACAGATTGCCATGTAATTCTGATGTGTAGTCGGGGTTAAGAAAACCTGCACTTTGGAAAGTAGATAAGAACCCTGATGATCTTCCAAAAAATTAGGTCTTTACAGGTCATTCATTGTGAGGATCAGATGAATGAAAGATTTTCAGATTTTAAGTATATGTTAGAAAATGACACTAAGCAGTTATATTTTATTTGTTAATTTGTACTCTGGGTGTTATTTCCCCCCCTCCCACTTGCATATTCAGGTGAGATTAAAAGATTCACTTGTCAGCTCCCTTCAGTTTTGTAAGGCAAAAGATGCTGAATTAGCATGGATAGATGGTGTCTTAGACATGAGAGTTTCCAAAGTAGACACAGGAGTTATTTTAGAAGAAGGAGAACTAAAGGATGATGGTGAAGACTCAGAGATGCAGGTGGACGCTCCTTCCGATGCCAGCGTCATAGCTCAGCAAAAGGCCATGAAAAGTCTGTTTGGAGATGATGAGAAAGAAACGGGTGAAGAAAGTGAGATCATCCCCACCTTGGAGCCTTTGCCACCGCATGAGGTAAGAGCCCATGCCTTTTCTGTCGCTTCCTTAATTTCCTTCTCCTAGTTTTCCTTGTATGTTTTTAACTATTTAAAGTATATTTTATATAGGCTAATTTTGGAGTTCTTAAAAAAGATGAATCAAGGCGTGTTTCTGTATGTGTGTCAGCTCTCTATGGCTAGTAACAATTTAAAGGAAACCATTAGCGAATCTTCTGTTTCATGATGTGGTTTTTTTTTTTTTTTTTCTGTGATGCTGGGGATTGAACCCAGGGCCTTGTGCAAGCGAGGCAAACACTCTACCATCTGCGCTATATCCCCAGCCTTCAGTGTGGATTTTTAAATATCAAGTTTGATTGTGGGGATCACCTGAGAATGTCATTCTCTTGCATTCCATTTTTGTGCATTTTCAGTTCATTTTAATTCACTTTTGGTTTTGGTACAGTTAGAAATCTTTTATTAGGTTTGATTATAATTCTAGGCTAGTATTTACATGTTCTCAAGAGGTATCTAGTTCATTAGCAAAGATTTTAGGTAATGAAACTTAGAACAGTATTAAAAACTGTAAGAGTCCCACATGGCTTGTCAGGTGAAGTCTGCAGCCCTGCTATAGGGCTGAGACCAGAGAAATAGCCTGTCATTGGAGTCCCTTCTAGTACTACTCTTGAAATTAGGAGGAGGAATTAAGAGAATCTTTTTTTCTCTCTGTGCTAAAGCTAGTGTTTTTCAGAACAATTTCAAGGAATTGAAGCATTAGGCAAGATCCACTTGACATTCTGATTCTGAACCCGTAGCATCCATTGCATTCACTCTGAGGGAGGAGGGAAAGTGGAAATGGGATTTAGGAAGAATTATCTTCCACACTAAAAATAAAGGAAACTAAGGTGTGAAAAAGGAATTTTTGGTTCATTACTGCTTCTTGGCCTCTAGTTGACCCTCTCTGGGCAAGTGTGTGAGTGAAGAGTATAACATCACACTTCTCCTTTATTAGGAGGCATGACTAATAAAATTGTGAAACATCAGAAGATGTGAAGGGCTTTGTAATGTTAAATAATGAAGCAAGATTCAGAATAACAAATTTGGAATGTGATTTACAGTCTTGAAACAATCTGTTGAAGGACTTCAGGGAATAATGGAAAATATTTTAGAGATCATGTAGAGTTTTTTATACAGTACAACCTTGTGTTTGGTATTTTACTTGAAGTTATTCTTTTCCCTTTCACCTCATCCAAGGTTCCTGGACATCAGTCAGTTTTTATGAATGAACCAAGACTATCAGACTTCAAGCAAGTTCTTTTACGGGAGGGGATTCAAGCTGAATTTGTAGGAGGTGTACTTGTTTGCAACAATCAAGTAGCAGTTCGTAGAGTAAGTATGCTTTTAATAAGGACCGAATCAAACAAGATGCTTCTGATGTTTTTGTCACTTTGAATTATGAAATTCTTTATTAGTAATTTCATAAAATGAAAGATCAGTAATTTATATTTATAATGATGAGCTTGAGGCTTATAAAAATGATAATTTTATGGTAAATTTATATTATTTGAATCCTCTGACATTTTTGTGTCTTAAATTCACTACTTGAATATTATATCCATATTCTGTGATTAACAGCAACCCATTTCCAGACCAATCATAAAGTAATCTATTTAATATAGTTTGGTTATTATGTCTGCATATTAATGATCAGAAAATGTACTAAAGAGCTTTTTTTTTGATTTCTAGACGGAAACTGGACGCATCGGATTAGAAGGCTGCCTTTGTCAAGATTTTTATAGGATAAGAGACCTTTTATATGAACAGTATGCTATTGTGTAAAAGACAGGATGTCAAGAAGTATCTGCTTGACCTTTCTAAGAAAAAGGATTCTTATCTTATTTTAAGCTTTTGCTGTTTTGTTTTGTAACATATGAAAGAAATCTGCCAGAAAAACTGAACATGTATTACATTTTTAAAATGTGTAAATAGTTGGCTAAGAGTGTAGCTCAATGGTAGAGCGTTTACCTAGCATGCTTAAGACTCTGGGTTCAATCCCCAGTGCTACAAAAAAAAAAAAAAAAAAGGAGATAGAGACCATTTTGCTAATGCCCAAATGAGCTCCCTACCTTTGGCTTTCACTGTGTTAGAGGTCCTAACAAGTGTACAGGCCTGAGAATTGAAGGTAATTGGTTTCTTTTACAGACCCCTTATTTTAGAAGGACTTTTTACTTGAATACAATACAACTTAGCAAACCAGTTCATGGCCTTAGAGAAACATGGTTTGCAGGCAGTCTTGCAAACTGTTTCTTATATTTTCTGGAATGAAAAGTGAGAGTTATTTAAAAAAGATGTGTTACAAAAGAGAAGCAAAATTGATAAAACAGTTTTTTGAGCTTAGGGATTTAAAAAACAAAAACAGCATGTGTGCTATGACTCTTGAATTCTAATATGCAATCTGTTTTTGCATGGAGCATATCTGCTTCATGCCTATATTGCCCAGTGACTCACTTTCGTGTGATATAGTACACATTTTGTTCAGAAATCATTTTTTCATTTCTCCCATTTCTTGTTTTATCAAGATTCTGTTGTTCAGTTTGAATTATGATAGCATCATTTAAATATATGTCATTTAAAGGAACTCCTGGATGTGTTATCGTCTTAAGAGTTCTGCATACAGGTTAGACACATCTGAGCTATCACCTAGGTTACTGCTGTATTTGAAACTGGTTAGTGCTCTATTTTTTAGAAAACAAAGTTAAACCTCACATTTTTATAAGATAATAGTACAATTTAATTAAAAGATGTAAATGTTTTAATCTCTTAGGATTGCTCTGTCCTAAGGTTACCTAAATTGTGGTTGGATTTTATACACATTACTGCAAAAGTACTAAAATTGGATAAGAGATTCTTTGTTGTCCCGATATAGTGTAAACCACATGTGTTTGAGAGTAAAAGTTGAATATATGCAATTTTCACTGAACTTAAGCAGTGAAAACCATGTTGCCCTCCTGTAATCCGTTGATGATTTTTTAGAAAGTAGCTTAATCATGGCAGACCTTGACACTTATTTCTTAAGTACCTAAACCCTCTTCTTTACACTTAGCATTTTTAGGAGCATCAGTTTCATTTAACTTATCTGAAACTATGTATAATTCAACCCAGTGATATCAGAATTGATATTTGTTTCAAATGCTTCCAAAACTTTACTGTGGATTATCATGCTAATGGCACTCACCTGTGATCCCAGCTGTCTGGAAGTCTGAGGCAGAAGGATCACAAGTTTGAGGCCAGCCTGGACAACTTAGTGCACCCTGTCTCAAAATAAAAATTTTTAAAAAGACGTGAGGATGTAGCTCAGTGGTAGATGCTTGCCTAGCATGACTCAGACCCTGAGTTCAATCCCCAGTACCTCAAAAAAAAAAAAAAAAAAAAAGACAGGTTTAGAGCCTTCTGATACTGAAGAGCAGATGTACAAACCAATGTGTCAGATGGTGATAAAGAGTATATTTTCTTTTTAGCACTTCAAAAAAAAAATGTCTTTTAAACATTTTTTTTTGTCTCTTACCATATAAAGTCTATAATTTTATTTATATTCCATGGGAAAGAAAGTCTGCAGTTGTTTCATGGTTTAAAGCATCTGGTTATGCATATTACATCATAATACTAATATTGAGAAGATTATTTCTTGCCCAGCCCTTCTATGGTTTTATGAACAGGAATTAAATTTTACAGTAGTGCTTTAAGGTGGCTGTACTAATAGTGTCATTGGAAGAGTAATACTTCTGCCCATTTCTGGATGACAGTATTACTAAAATGAAGACTTTTAGTCTCAGTTACTTAGGAAAAATAGAAGTTTAGAAACAACGATGATATAAATCATGAACTCAGAGAAACTCAGATTTTATTGTTGAGAATAAAAAAATAACATGTGGACTATCAGATATCTACACATATTTTTATTAAGAAATTTTCTTGTATTGCAGTGGGATTGTACATGTCAGGTATCATTCCAATCATTTCTGTTTTCATGAACCAGTAAGAGACCTGAAACAGAAGGGAGGGAATCAATTATGTAAGGAGGGCTTATTACCTTTTTTTTAAAAATTGAGGTACAATTTACATACTATAAAATACTCATTCTTTTAAAGTGTATATTTCATTTGTTTTTGGTGTATTTAGAGTTGTGCAACCACTACTACTATGTAATTCCAGAATATTTCATCATTCCAAAAAGAAACCCCTTATCCATTAGCAGTTATGCCCATTTTCCCTTCTCCCTAACACATTGTTAATCAGTAACAATTCTATCTCTGTGGATTTACCTCTTCTGGACATTTCATAAAAATGGAATCATGTGACACGTGGCCTTTTGTGTCTGACTTCTTTCACTTAGCATGATGTTTTCAGGTTTCATCAATGCAGCATGTATCAGTATCCTTTTTAGGGCTGAATTATATTCTATCGTATACTGTACACATTGTTTATTACCAGTTGCTGAACATTTTGAGTTGTTCCCAGTTTGGGCTGTTATGAGGAATGCTCTTTTGAACACCCATGTATGTTTTTTTGTATGAGCATAGATTTTCAGTAATTTTGAGTTATGTACTTAAGAATAGAATGGCCGGATCATATGACAACTCTAACCATTTGAGAAACTGCCAGAGTACTCTCCAAAGTGACCACACTGTTTCATGTCCCACCTACATGTGCTTGAGGATGGCGTTTTCTCTGCATCCCTGCCAATCTTTATTATTCCCCATCTTTTTATTTTAGCCAGCCTAGTTTTTGAGGTTTTGATTTGCATTTCCCTAAGGAATAATGGTGTTGAGCATCTCTGTGCTTATTGGCTACTTGTATGTCATCTTTGCAATAATGACTGTTCAAATTCTTTGTCCATTTTTAAATTGGTTTATCTTTTTGTTGAGTTATGATAAGTTTTGTAATTACTTTATTTCATTCTTTGGCTTTTCTTCACTTGGTAGATACTTTGAAGCACACACAGTTTATAATTTGGGTGCAGTCCAATTTTTTCCCTTTGGTTCCTTGTACGATATTTGGTTCCTGTGCTCTGCATGTCATTTCTTAGAAACCATTGCCTCATCCAAAGATAGAGACCTATTTTTTCTGAGAGTTTTGGTTTTTGAATTTAGTTCTTTCACCCATTTTGAATTGATTTTTGTTTAATGTGTGAGGTGGGGGATCTAATATCATTTTTTAAATCAAAATTTATGATTTCATATTACATTAAAAAATCTGACCCAAAGAACTGGTGGTTACAGACTCGCAAAGGGAAGCAGTGAACAGTAGAGAGCTGCCCCGTGGGCTGCACTTGAAGGGGAGCCCTGGATGGCTGCAAGGCTGTCTCCAGGAGGACTGAGCAGCCAGAGCTGAGCAGAGTGCAGTGGGTGCAGGGAGAGGACCGCCCTGCCCTTCCTCCACCCTGCTCTGGCCCTGGCAGTGCTCTCTGGCTGCCTGTTTCCGGAGCCTAGCAGCCCATCATGCAGTCCCCGGCAGTGCTCAGTCCCCGGCAGTGCACCTGTTACCCAGCTGCTGTGCAGTGTGTGTAACTACCTACCCTGTGGGGACACCTGTGCCCTGAAGAGCTGCATGGCTAGGGGCAGGACCAGCAGCAGACAGCTGAAGGTCACCGCCTTCTGCCAGGGCCCTAATTTTATTTTTTTGCATGTAGAGATCCAGTTGGCCTGGCATCTTTTGTTAAAAAACTTTGCCCATTGAAGTGTTTTGCCATCCTTTTTGAAAATTAATTGCCCATAAATGTTAATAGACTCCCAATTCTGTGTCAGTAATCTATGTATCTACCTGTATGCCAATACCACACTGTTTTGAATTCAGGAAGTATGAATTCTCCACCTTGTTCTTTTTCAAGATTGTTTTGTCTGTGCTGGGTTCCTTGTATTTCCATGAGAGTATTAGCTTAATCAATTTCTGCCCAAAAAGCCCACTCATTTTTAATAGGGAAAAACAGCAATTGAAGTTTACAATTTAAAACCTTGAATGCAATGGCTAAAAGGGACTGCAGAACACATCTAGTTCAACCCACTTATTTTAGTGTTGAATGAATGAGCCTGTGAAGCGAAAAGAATTTGAGATCCACATAGCTAGTTAAAGAGAGCTGGGACCGGGACCCAGCCTTACAGAATTCAGTCACTTCTATGCTGCCGAGTTGCTTGTTCAGTCCACTAGTGTATATTCACTTTTCTTAGGAGCGACATGTTCAGTTCATGTGCACTAAGAATGGCAACTGTTATTTAGGACACTAGCATGCTGAGGAGGAGATTGATTTCCATTCTGTATCATGGCCAGTAACAGCCAGAAAGAGTAAATGTCACATTCTGCACTTCTCTTTGGTTGTAAGCTTCTACAGTTTTATCACAAGTTATTGTCCTTTACAAAAATATCAATGAACTGATGATTACTTAAGTCAAGGATGTAAATAGTGGTTCATAGGCAGTGATTGTCACAGACTGTTTTAGTGGTAACTATAAAATGAACATGTGAAGATGCACCGGGATCTAGAGGAGGAACATTCAGATCTGCCCACTTGGGCAGGTTCCAAGATAAGATTTGCCCTCCTTTTTCACTTTTTTTCTTACTTTAACCATTTCAGTTGTGTTTGTGGGAAGATGCCCAAAACTACCAAGATTAATTTAAAAACCAGAAGATTGCTGGAACAAGGGGCATCTCATTTTTCTTGCTTCTGATCTTCCCCACACATGTGCACACATGGCTTCGCCTTTTGGTGGAGCTTTTCAAAATTCATTACTTGGTCCCTTTCATTTTTATTCTAGAAGTCCAAATATGATTCTAAAGGAGCTAATAGGAGTTTAACCCAGGGCTACACACATTCTTTGGCAAGTGCTGTACCATTGAGCCACATCCCAGCCCCCTACTCAATTTTTTTAAATATATTTATTAGTTGTAGGTGGACACAATATTTTACTTTATGTGGTGCTGAGGATCGAACCCAGAGCTTCATGCATGCTAGCCATAGGCTCAGCCCCTACTCAAATTTTTAATGCTGAGTGATTGTATAAATACTTTCAGTATAAGAGAAATAACTTCTCAATTGTGGAGAATTCAACTTCTCAAGGTTTTTAATATCTTTTGTCTGTGTTCCCCCCCCACCACCTTTGGAGAATGAATGTTTAATGAAGATTTAGAACATTGCATTGTTGACTATTAAGCAGAATTTTACAACTACATAAGTATAGAATATGCAGAAGATTTACAGGGACTTAATCACTTTCTGAGGCTAAGTTTGTGTCAGTGTTTAATATCCAATTTGTCAGGTATTTTTTCTTGACAATTATGTTTTTTAAAAAAGGAACTACTAAGTGGACATTCAAAACTAGTGAAGTCCTTCAGATAAATCATTATGGGAATCTGTTCCAAGGGTGCTGCCACCACCCTTGTTTTTAATGTTTTTGAAATTGTTGCTTTACTTCCAGTTTATTTCCCAGGCTTATTAGAAATGTTGTAAATTGTTTTAGAAATACACTGTGGTCTTGGCCCAATTGAGCATTACCACTTGATTCTAAATGATGGGGGGAAAAAAATTGAAAACCCTTCCTCTAAGGGTATACTCCCTCTAAGGGTATACTTTTTTTTTTTTTTTTTTTTTTGCAGGGGAGATGGTATTGGGGATTGAACCCAGAGCCTCTCACATACTAGGTGAATGAAACAGGGTTTTTCTATGTTGCTTAGGGTGGCCTTGATCATTCCATTCTCCTGCCTCAGCCTTCAGAGTAGCTAGGATTAACAGACATATGCTAACACACCTGGCTCAGGCAGTTTTTTATATTAAAAATTAATACCAAATTCACTAAACATAGTGGAATATATACCAAAAGTTATAAAGGTATTTTCCAACTTTACTCATAGGCTGTGATATAGGTGAATTTTTATATTAATATCAAAAGAACACAAAGACCTGAGATTGTATAAATACCTTGAGTATAAGAGAAATAACTTCTCAACGTGTAGAATGCAACTTCTCAAGGTTTTTAAATATTTCTTTTCTTTTTTTAAAAATTCATTTTTTTTAGTTTTCAGCAGACATAACATCTTTGTTTGTATGTGGTGCTGAGGATCGAACCCGGGCCGCACGCATGCCAGGCAAGTGCGCTACCACTTGAGCCACATCCCCAGCCCCTTTGAATATTTCTCTTCTGTGATTTCTCTTTTCCTTTGGAGAAAGAATGTTTAATGAAGATTTAGAACATTGCATTTTTAACTCTTAAGCAGAATTTTATAACTACATTATTACTCCTTAAGGAAAGCTTCTTTCACATTTATTTTAACTATTCTTTTGAATACTTTAAGATAATGAAACCATTAAGTAGTGATTTTTCTATTAGTATAAAAGCTGATGTAATAAATTCCTAGTAGCTGAAGGACCACATATACTGATTTTTAAAAAACTTTTTATTTTGAAATAGCTTTAAACTTACAGCAGAGTTACAAGAATAATATCCTTCCCTAGGTCTTCTGTTACTATTTTGCCATTTTACTTTTACTATTCTATTACATATCATTTCTTGAATAATTGGATACTATGTTACAGTTATCACATAAGTCCTCAATACTTAGCCTTTTTAAAAAATAAGGACATTGTCCTGCATAACCACAGTACGTTCATCAAAACCAGGAAACTAACATAGATGAAATTCTACTGTTTAACCCATAAACCCAATTCATTTGTTACTAATTTATCAAAAAAAAAGTCACAACTCCTCTTTGACCTGGATACAATCCAGGATGAAGTGTGCATTTAGTTATGTTTTCTCTCTAGTCCTCTGTAATCTGGAGTGGTTTCTCTGCTTGCACTTTTATATGACCTAGATGTTTTTCCTTGTTTTGGGGGAGAGAACCCAGAAGGCATTTTACCACTAAGCTGAATCCCTGTTCTTTTTATTTTAAGACAAGTTCTTGCCAAGTTGTCCACATCGGCCTTGAATTTCAGGATCCCCCTGTCTCAGCCTCTGGAGACACTGGAATTACATGCATGTACCACTTTGCCCAGCATGACATAGGCATTTTTGAAGAGTGCAGACCAGTTAGTCCATAGATGTTCTTCCTTTTGGATTTGTATGGTGCTTTCTAATGTTTCAATTCAGTTTTTGAATTTTGGTTAGGAATATCAGAGAAGTGATGCTGTGTTCTTCTCTGCATTGTATCAGGAGGCACATAATCAATTTTTTGGTGAATTTATGTATGTGGGTATGTGTGTGTACGCTGGGGATTAAAGCCAGGACCTCATGCATACTAGGCAAGTGCTCTACCACTGAGTCACATTTCCACCCCCTGGTTTAATTTTTTTTTTTTCATATACTGGCAA